TAGGGTGAGCCTTGTGAATGTGACTGAGTTGAAGGGATCCAGGACATATGGGGAGGTAGGTAGAGGCACAGAGGGACTGGTAAGCTGGGTGAATAGAGGAAAGGCAAACAATAGCAGGTCCCAGTAAGGCCTTAAAAGTTTTCTTTTTCTTTTTTAAAACAAATTTGTATTGGAGTAGAGTTGATTTACAATGCTGTGTTACTTTCAGGTGTACAGCAAAGTGAATCAGTTATACATATATATCCTCTCTTTTTTAAGATTCTTTTCCCATATAGGCCATTACAGAGTATTGAGTAGAGTTCCCTGTGCTCTACAGTAGGTCCTTATTAGTTATCTATTTTATATACAGTAGTGTGTACCTGTCAATCCCATCTCCCAATTTATCCCTCCCCCTCTTCTCCCCCGGTAACCATAAGTTTGTTTTCTACATCTGTGACTCTATTTCTGTTTTGTAAATAAGTTCATTTGTACCATTTTCTTTTAGATTTCACATATAAGCGATATCATAAGATATTTGTCTTTGTCTGACTTACTTCACTCAGTGTAACAATTTCTAGGTCCATCCATCTTGCTGCAAATAGCATTATTTTGTTCTTTTTTATGTTTCTGGGGAATAATGAGGTCGTGATTGCGGAAGGAAAAGTACTGGGATGTGGTCCACTTTATGACCTTACTAGTGTATCTCATATATATGAGAGGTCCAGACGATAATTGATACAACTATGAAAATTTCCAAAAATGAAGATGCAATCAGCATACGTGGAAAAAGGGCGTAAGTAGGGTTGGGGAGGATATATTTTAGGTAGGAATCTGGCCTCATTGATAAAGCACACCATAACACCTGTATCACTCAATTCCAAGGCTGACCAGGAGAAGGATTGTTAACAACTTGCCCTCAGTCCATAAGATTATTCTGGCAGTGGGAAAAGTACAGCTTCCAGTGAATTTTTTTTAGCATTTCCAAAACCAATTCACTAAGTTTTAATAATTACTTCCTTTGAGCAGGGATAATGACCTAGGTTCGGCTATTTCATTTCAAACTAGAATTTCATTTTAAAAGAGTTTTTGCTTTTTGGGGAAAAAAATTGTACCTAAGAAAAATTGGTCAGCTGTGTGCTCTGCTGGAGTTCTGCTGGAGAGATTATCACAACAAGCTGGTGGCCTGGCAGGGGCTGAAACAAATAATTTTGTAAAACTGAAACTAGTTCATCACAGTTTATAGTTTTTCATTGCATTTTAAAATGTAAGTGGCTATTTTTAAAGGAAGGAAAGTAAGTCTAAATTGCCCTACTAATCCAATGAAATATCGCCAAGAGGGTAAAAGCAGACAACTGTGCTCCATGTGGGAGATCCTTTCCAAAGCCTGCTTTTACGCCTCTCTTCTGTTCTCATTGAAACAAGTCCCAAAGAGCAAATGAAGCTGGGACCCAAGCTGAAGGCAAGGGTACACGTTGTTTACTTCATCGCTGCCAGCAGCCCTCTCACCACCAGGCTGGGATTCAGGCACACAGGTCAGAAGAAGAAGAATCCTGCTTTCACCCTCCCAGGTCTCCATCAGGAACCACCAGGGAGCAGCAGATGACTAAGTCACTCACCTGGCTGCCTCCAGTTAGATACTTGCTTGAAAATGAATGGGAAAGCTCCTAAGAAGGGGAAGAGAAGAAATAATAATGGCACCAACAATTCGCATTAGTGTGGTTTTATGATTCACCGAACCACGTACATGCCTGTGTTTGATTTTGCCTTTTGGTGAGCAGAGCACGCATCTTTGGTCCCGTTGTGAAGAATAGCAATCCCCAAACCCAGAAATGTTAAAACAGAAATTTGTTCCCAATCATACACCTTGTTCAGAACAAAAGCTTTGAAGGCATTTTCCCTGGTTTGAATTCTGGCTTTATTACTTACGAGCTGTGTGACCTTGGGAAGCTATTGAACCTCTCTTTGACCTCATTTTCTCATCTGTAAAGTGGAGCTAAGGGGCTTCCCTGGTGGCGCAGTGGTTGAGGGTCCGCCTGCCGATGCAGGGGACACGGGTTCGTGCCCCGGTCCGGGAGGATCCCACATGCCGGGGAGCGGCTGGGCCCGTGAGCCATGGCCGCTGAGCCTGCGCGTCCGGAGCCTGTGCTCCGCAACGGGAGAGGTCACTGCAGTGAGAGGCCCGCGTACCGCAAAAAAAACAAAAAAACTCTCTGAAAAAAGTATTATTTTGTCCATTCTACAAACGGGTGAAACAAGGCCCAAGGTCAAGGACCTCCCAAGGTCCCTCAGCTCATGAGTGGCAAGCCAGGTCTGACTTATACTAAATTACCGCAAGGATACATTCCCTATGAATTAAGTCACTGAGACCTTGAGCTGGTTTCATCCTCCCCACTATCCATCTTATTTAAAAAGGAACAAGACTCACTTTCTGTATCTCCACTTTTCTCCCTGAAGAATGTAGCACAGTGCCAAGTTCTGTAAAATCCACAGTCTGCTGACAGTCACAGAATCCTAGACTAGAAGGGACAATTACCTGCTAGTAGGGATCTGGAGAGGCAGAGACACACATATTGTTGAATCCTAGTTGTATCACTCACAAGCTCTATGACGACAGGGTAACAACTTAACCTCGGTGGGTCTCAGTTTTTCCATTCAGAAAATGGAGCAGTAATTGTTTCCACCTCCTAGAATTGCTGTGATGATCACATTAGCACAGTGCTGGCACCCAGGATAACTGCTCGATAAACATGTACTGATAACTTTAGCTAGAGAAACACCATCTAGTTCATCCACTTCACCCCACTGGTTTGATCCCACAAATCATCTGTGCATCTTTTTTGAAATCCTTCCCCAGAAGGAGATACTAGAGCTTCGTGTGTGAAGGGTTCCAATGCCTGACCAATCTCACAACCTGGAAATCTAACTGCTCCATTTAAAATATTAACATTCTAAAAAAAATTAAAAATTAACATTCATTCTCCAAAAAAAGTAGAGAATGACTTGTTATGCTTTTTCTGGATAAATGAATGAACATCTCAACATTCTCTCTCCCAAGCTAATCTAATCTAACCCCAGGAATTTCATTTTTGTCTTATGAAGTCTGTTATCTACCACTTTCCACTGGTGATGACGAGGATGGCTTCCTGTCCTGAGATTGCTGTGGTGATAAGGCAGGTAGCTCATCTTAATAATATTGTGTGTTGTGCTCTTTATTTTCAAAGCACATTCACATGCTTATCTTTTTTTTTTTTTTTTTTTTGCGGTACGTGGGCCTCTCACTGCTGTGGCCTCTCCCGTTGCGGACCACAGGCTCCAGACGCGCAGGCTCAGTGGCCATGGCTCACGGGCCCAGCCGCTCCGCGGCATGTGGGATCTTCCCGGACCGGGGCGCGAACCCGTGTCCGCTGCATCGGCAGGTGGACTCTCAACCACTGCGCCACCAGGGAAGCCCCACATGCTTATCTTGTTGATTGTAATACAACTGGGAGAGTTAGGGAGGGTGGGGGTTATCTCTACATTAAGGATGAGGAAACTGAAGTATAAAGGAAAGAACAACGATAGCCACCATGGCTAAGCACTTATATTTCAGGTCTTTTTTTGTTAATTTTTATTTTATATTGGAATATAGTTGATTAACAATATTGTGTAAGTTTCAGGTGTACAGCAACGTTCCAGGTCTTTCACACATAATATCTCATTTAAACTTCTCAAGAGCCTTCTTTAGTAGGTGTTATTAGCTCAGTTTAGAGGAAAGGAAAATGAGGCTCATAAAGGGAGGTGACATAGCCAATTTTCTGCAGATACTGAACGGTAGAGCTGAGAAACTCCAGATCTACCTCACTCCAAACCCAATAAGCTCAGTCACTGACTTTTGAAAATTTGCTTAACCCATCAGTGACTAAAATGGCATTAAGATCCAGGATTCCTGATTCACAGTTTGGGACACCTTTCATCAAACCACTAATTCAGTTCTTCCTGACTGGGTATGTTGCTAGAGCTAGACCCACCTATGACTAGAATAGCCACTGCTCACACAGAACTGCTTTACAGCTGTTCCCCATTCCTAGCTAGTCTTCTGCTCTTATCTTCCAGGTCCATGCCTATGATTTGGGGGTTCTCAAGCATGCAGTCAGAGGGTTATAAATTTATATACATGGTTACATATCTGTCTATCTGTTATATGTATAAAATGTATATATATTTACATAATATGTAAATATATATTTGTATTATATATTTATACATATTGTGCATAGATATTCATGTATATGGATATATATATATATACATGCACAGGCTTCCAGAATTTGCCAGATTCTCCAGCAAGAATAAAGATTTGCCAGGCCAAACAAACTTCTCAGGGATTTGCCAATAAGTGTAATTCTTTAAATACAGATTTGGATGTGTGTTGGTTCGCAATTTTGGGAATTTCCTCGGTGAAATCTGAAACTGGCCCCATACACAGAGGGCAAGGGGAGGTGAAGAAAGAGGCAGGCCACTCCAGATTGGTAGGTGAGAGGTTTAATAAGCAAGGGGAGTTACAAGGCTCGTCTTGAGTGGCCTTAAGACTAGTCGATCTCTGCACTCACCCACCAGAATCTTAAAGGTTTATATAGATGCCTTAACTGGGTTCAGGCATGTATTCAGTCCAGGTGATCTCAAGGCTGCATCCTTGAACTGGCTTGGGCTATGGGAACTGGGTGGAACATACATTCCAAGGACAGGGGAGAGGGTAAGGAGCCTCTGATTGCCAGAGTCTAGCTTGCTGGTCAATCAATAGTCACATCCTCTTGATTACCTCTTCCAACAACATGGGAGAAGTGAAAGAAAAATGTTAATGGGAGTTTCTTCTCTTTCCCTGAGTGTCCCCTTCACATGGGCCTATAGACATAATCAAATCGAAGTTGTAAGGCCAGCACTGAGCTGAGGGATGGATTCTAACCATGTTCAGCTTTTCCTGGGGAGTCTGTGCTTATGTTACTATTTGAGCTGCTCCACTCATTCATTTTCCATTTCTAAAGGAGATGAGGGTGAAAAAGGAGATCCAGGAGAGGAGGGAAAGCATGGCAAAGTGGGACGCATGGGGCCAAAAGGTAGGTAACATGATATGACTTTGACACTTTGCTCTCTCTCTGCTGGACTTGCCTTGGAAGTTAGCAGCTTTCATAACACCCTCCTCTCCAGAGATTCATGAGATGTGTTTCCTAGATGAATTTACTTGCCACCAGAGAGTTCCTATGAGATTGCCTGTTGACAAGACTCGGACACATTTCTCAAGCTTCATCCTTAGGGCTGGTGGGAGAGGAACACCCTGGGAGCCCTGGGGAATTGCAGTCCCTGGGAATATCTAAGGAACTCTGAGTTTTAGAAACACAGCCATGTTCACCGCTGTGTCTCCCCTCAGATGCCGTGCTAAGCATCTCTGGCTGGCTGGCTTAGAGTGTGAGGGGGAAGAAAAGCAAGAGCAGAAACAGCTGTCTGATCCATTGATTTACTCACTTTTCTCCAAGAGCTCTTGGCAAATGGTGGGGTATATATGGGAAGAACAGGAGAAAATAAAATGAGAATATAACACACAGGCTATTAGGGAATGGTTTTACTCACAAGCCAAGACTCAGCCTCGCCAGAATACAGCTTCTGGATTGTGACGTGTCAGCGCGTGTCTTCCAAGCACTAGAACTATTCCTTGCCATCTGCTACAAGGTAGTGGCCCTAGACCACTGATTTTAAAATCTTCAGTAAGTTAAAGAGAGAAAAAGACTCATAGGATTTTGAGACTTCAATTTGAGAAATGCTGATTTAAACTCTTCTTATTGTATAAATATGTACAATCAACTGCAAAATTATTCTCACAACTAGATAGCTTTACAACTGGTAAATATTTTTTAGATAATCATGGATTAAAAATGCAAATTAGTAACAATTTTGTAGGCACTCAGGAACCCCTGATTATATTTTTTTGGAGGAAAACTTGGTGGGACAATCTCTGATGTCTCTTTAATGACTAGGTTTTATGATTGTATGTTCCCTCCCCTTTGAAAAAAAATGGCTAAGCTAGTCCAATTTGTTTTAAAGTAGCGAGGAAATAGAATCCCAGAGTGAAGCCAAAATGGATCTCAGGAGGAACAAAATTAGAAAAAACTGCAAGAATTTTTTCACTCAGCTCCTTACCTGACCTTTACGTTAAACATCCTCTGTTGTAGTTCTTTAGAAATATTGCATTTTAATATCATCAGGCCCAGGACTGTCACACTCACCCACATTTTAATTTTAATACGTACATTATAATGCTATTAAAATAGTTAATATAGCACTAGATGTTTATTATATACCACAGATAGAAGAATGCACTTTTCAGTATTTCCTTCAAGTGAATATCATATACTAGGCACATCATTAAAGGGGAGATAAAACCTTAGGATATAAAGATGACTTGCTTTACTTTTCAGGAATTAAAGGAGAACTGGGTGATGTAGGAGACCAAGGCAATATTGGCAAGACTGGGCCCATTGGCAAGAAGGGTAAGCTATATTTTACTATTCTCCAGTAGCAATTTAAAGCCAATTGAACCTACCCTCGATATATGTCGAAATGTTCTGTACCATGAAAAATGAGCCCTTTCCTTTCTTTTAAAACACGAGTTTTCTCTTTCCTCCTATCTTGGCAGTTTCTTCCCTACATAAGCAACGTGTCTTTGAAAAAAGGCCTTGAGCAAAATTCAGCTGAAATTCAGGGACAGATTCAAACATAAAGTTCAGTTAGTCTCTACCCAGAACTCTCTCCTGGGATCTACTGGTTATAATCCTTTATGCAATTAAAATGGGTGTCATGACCATGAGGCGCACTCAGGTGCAGAAAACAATTATGCATAAAACTCAGTGTAGCTGAGGACAGTATAATATTCCTTTTTAATCTGAGTGGAATGATAATAAGTCTGTGTCTGAGATCTACTAACAGGATAGGAATTTGAGGTGCGTGTATATACATCCTTTTGTTTTCAGTCATATCCTGATCCTGCATGTTCCTGCTTCCATATTATAAAACACAGGTAGCCTCCCCTTTATTATCTAAGCACCCTATCCCATCATCTTCTCCAAAAGCACCACAACGGTAGCAGGTTGTTTTTTTTAATAGATCTTTACTGGAGTATAACTGCTTCACAGTACTGTGTTAGTTTCTGTTGTACAACAAAGTGAATCAGCCATATGCATACGTATGTCCCCATATCCCCTCCCTTTTGAGCCTCCCTCCCACCCTCCCTTATTGCTTCTGATATTCAGCAATTCATACAGACATCGTTCTGTTGGTTTGAAGTTACAAAGCGATCCCCTTTAACCCGGATACACAATTTATTTGAGCATAGGAGAACGGGCTCATGATTTGCATAACAGGGGCATTTTAAGCAGATACTTGCTACGCTGGAGCTCACCACAGTAGTAGTGGGAGGTGGCTACGAAATTATGACCTAAGTACAGTATTTACTCCAGTTAATTTTATGCAGTTATGATTTAATACTACATCTTTACATTTGCTTACATTTCTTGCAACTGGGAATGGCACCATGTATGGTCTGTAGTCGTGTCTGTAAGTTTTGATGAATTTTAACTTTTTATATTCAGTTTGTGTATATTTTATGGTATACATGATAAAATAGACTAGTATCTACATCTATTTTATACATTCATGACATACCTAAATTTTTCTTAATTTTTTTTCAGTATTTCTAGGCTACGTGGTTTATCTGTGAGTTTTTTCAAATTGTTGAAAATCTCCCAAAACTTCCCCAATATATTTATTTTAAAACTTTGCACATAAGTGAACCCGCACATTTCAAACCCGTGTTGTTCAAGGGTCAACTGTATAATGCTGAATAACCACAGGACTACTATAGGAACCATGTCAGAGAGTAAAGCCAGATTGGTATGAAAAAGAACTGACCGGGCTTCCCTGGTGGCGCAGTGGCTGAGAGTCCGCCTGCCGATGCAGGGGACACGGGTTCGCGCCCTGGTCCGGGAAGAACCCACATGCAGCAGAGCGGCTGGGCCCATGAGCCATGGCCGCTGAGCCTGCGCGTCCGGAGCCTGTGCTCCGCAACGGGAGAGGCCACAACAGTGAGAGGCCCGCGTACCGCAAAAAAAAAAAAAAAAAATACTGGAAAATAGTTCCAGGGCTTACATCTTCTCAGAAAAAAAAAAAAAAGTCCATGCATCAATTCAAGTATCTATTTCCCACATTAAGATCCAGTTAAAGGCTACTGCTTCAATGAATCTTTCCCTACTCTGATCCACAGCCGTCTTTACCTTCTCTGAAAACCTACCAGGCAATTCCTTTATTTCATTCTGTTTGTAGACAATGGTGCTAATGTCTCATCTCCTTGGTCTCTTATGTGCACTTTGTTTTCCTTAAAAACCTATTTTTTTGGCCGTGCTGCGCGGCTTGCAGGATCTTCGTTCCCTGACAAGGGATTGAACCCGTACCCTCGGCAGTGAAAGAGTCCCAGCCACTGGACGGCCAGGGAAGTCCCCCAAAACCTATCATTTTCTAAAGCAAATACTCTATGTATGCTTTTTTTTTTAATATTCATTATTGGGCTTAGACCAGAACTAGGGTCATAGCAGAACTAGAATCAATTTTCAACCTATGTTGAATTGAAAGGATTCACATATAAAGAAAATAAACGATTTTTAATTAAAATATTAAGCCATATTCATATGAACTTTCAAGTCCATATTGCTTTTGGTGATGATGGGACTGATATTCCTTTCCACTTTTTATAACATGTTTTGAAGACTTGGCTTCCCTTCATTAAGTCATTGGTTAAGTTATTTGAAAAGCACCATGAATTGGGGAGTCAGAAGTGGTTGGGTTTCAATACCAGCACTGCTATTGAATTGCTGGATGTCCTTGAGCTATTTACTTTGCCTCTCTGATCTTCAATATCTTCAGTTGTAGAATAAATATAATGATAGTACCTAGCTCATTGGATTTAGTATGATAATACCTATAAAGTATCTAACTTGACAAATGATTGGCACTCAGCAAGTATATATTCCTTTTCTTCCATTAACATACTCTCAAAATCTACTCTTATCTTTTCCAATTTACATATAAGGGGAATGAGGAGTTTGCAGGACACAGCTTAGGTGTGTCCAGATCAATCTTCCTCATCAGGGTGCTCGGCATATTTTTATGCTTCTTTCCCAGCTGTACCTCTGCTGTACATTGTTTCCTATGTTGCTCCCACCTTCACCTGCTGAAGCTCCAATGCCATCTCCTCAGGAGAGCCTTCCTTCATTCTTCCAGCTGGGGCACTACCTCTTCCAACTGCCTTCTGCATTGGACAGGGTATGTTATCTCTGTTCATGGTCTTTCTTATAATATTTATCACATTCCATTGTCATAGATTTCACCATTGTTTCATTTCATCCAAGTACAAGTTCTGAGGCATTCCCCAGCATACTTAAACTACATTTGGGGTTTCAAGGACTCCCCTCCTTTTGTCTGGGGAGCTCTGGCATCACTGTAAAGAAAAGTGTCCACGTAGGTCAATTTGGAAAGGCTCAGCAAATCCTGGGGGCCCTGGCAGGCATGCCTTTCTGCATGGTCAGTGGCCAATATGTACGGGACTCAATGAAAAGCAGTCAGCAGACAGTGATGAAAGAATAGCTAGTGGGCAGGCAACATGGGGAACCCTTTGGGTTTTAGAGTGGCTCCCAGGTTTTCCCTTTTGCTGGGAAAGGAAGGGGTTAGGCAGAACCTCAATGCTGACCCCATTGCCCCTTACATTGCCCCCTCGGTCATATACCCAATTCCTGGCCACATCATTATCCTACAAGAGTAAGCCTCATACTCTTCTCTAGCCTGGATGACCTTCATCCTGTATTCATCCCCCTCAATTCTTTCTTATGCTTTTTCCAGATCACCGTTGAAGCATAAACTCTGTTTTACTTCTATCAGGGTCTTCTCTTTGGAGAAGAGTACTTCAGGGCCCAAAGCTTCAGGCAAACATTTCCTCTTATAAATCAAAAGTTTTGCTTTCAATTATTGTGCCTGATGTGGGCTTCAGGAGCTTATTTTGAAGTTGAAAAAATTCAACATTTTTTTCCTCTCTGCTTTAATAATTCTGACTCTCTGAAAACTGTTTTGTGGATGTCTCTGACTGAATAAGAAAAGGGTCAAATACAAAAAAGAGCAGAGAGGAAAATTATCAAGGTTGATATGTCAGTATAATATTTTTGACACAACTTTAAATTATGGATATTTGCATATATCACATCTCTTCCAAAAAGCATAAACTCTTTCAAGCCAGATGTTTAATCTTGTCTCTCTTTATACCCTTTCAAAGTACCAAGCAAGTCTTTTGTCTTGCATAGAGTAAGTAAATAGTAAGTATTTGTTGAATTAAATTGAAAAAGCACGATACATGTTTTTGAAAATCCAAGGGCAGAGCCACATGGAAGAACTTGGGGGCATAATAAATACACAGACACTGTGTAGTGCTAATCAGTTGATCCAGATGTGTAAAACAATGGTACTTTTTAAATTAAAAACATGCAGAATATTGTCTTAGCTTTGCCCAGAAGGCCACATTATAAAAACATGTTAGTAAGATCAGTGACACAAACTTAAACGTTTATACATCCAACTGGAATTCTGCATTCCATCTAATTAAATTATGACTTGTTTGATTTGTTGTACCTGTACAGCCAACTCAAAATCAAATTATTTTTATAAAACCAAGGAATATTTGTTGGAGATATTGCAATGAATTTTAAAACCTCTTTCCTGTTATTTTAGGTGTATAAGATATTGTCTGCCTGAAATAATTCTATTTCATTAGATTTTATGCGTTCTGTTCTATTCATCAGTAACACTATTTTATTTAGTTGTTCTTTTCATGGCTACTGTTTTTCTTCAGGTGACAAAGGGGAAAAGGGTTTGCCTGGGATACCTGGAGGAAAAGGCAAAGCAGGTATAATATACTTAGTTTTTCTTCTTAATTTTTAACATCATTCCAAATCTATTCATCTTAAAAATGAATATAGTTTATAGAAAAACAATAGTCTTTTCAGTGGGATTAACCTCATTTTCCTTGGGCCAGAAGAAAGGGAAGAATGAAAATTTCCTCTCTATCTGCTGGTGACTTTCCAAGCCTCTGGGGAAGGGGAGGATGGTGCATTCCACCCCTCCCATTCTTACCATGAGGTAGCAAACCCAGCACATCAGGAAGCAGCCCTCATTCTCCGAGACCAGGAGGAAAATCCACGAGGGCCACAACAATTGGACCAGCACGTCTTACATTCCACCAACATCTCAGCCAAATACTGGCCAAGCAGTTTGCCAGCAGCAAACTGGCCTGATCCAGTGAGGCCCTGTGGTTACAGAACATGCCTCAGTGGCTGGGGAGTTTCTCCCTGATACTGAAAGAGAGGTCTATTTCCAGCGCTCGATGCAAGGAAAAAAGTAGCTTGTTCTTGGTGAGCTTCAATTATTTCTATCCGTAAAGGTGTAGTGCGGACTAATTCTAAGAGCTCTTTTAACTTCCTTATATTTAACTGTGAATGTGGATAAATAAAGCCACAGATATTTTTTTTTTCCTTTGGCTTATAGAATTCATTTTGCTTTTCAACAACCAAAGAAACAAAGCAAATGGAAATGTTGACATGAAGCAGCCATTAAATAGGAAAAGGGAATCATTTGAATTTTTTTTAACTTTTTATTTTATATTGGAGTATAGTTGATTAACAATGCGTTAGTTTCAGGTGTGCAGCAAAGTGATTCAGTTATACATATACACGTGTCTATTCTTTTTCACATTCTTTTCCCATTTAGTTGTTACATAATATTGAGCAGAGTTCCCTGTGCTATACAGCAGGCCCTTGTTGGTTATCTGGGAATCATTTGAATTTTACATCATTTTCCTTACAATTCTTTCTCTGCCACATTACCAGTAGGTAATTGAAAAGGTAAATGAGCAAAGGGGAATTAATGGCAGAAGTTAAAATCATAGTTAATCCACAGATGGATCAACTGACTCTTGAAATTGTAAGATAGATCTATTCACAAGATTTAAACTTAGTCCTTGAAACATTAAGCTATACTCCAAATGGATAATCAGAATTAACATTTATTTCATCGTGAAAGTTTTCTCCTGTCTTGGCAGAGTTGTGTGAGCCAGTGAACAATGCAGTAACAGAAGAGAAGACTGGCTAGAAATATGGTTTTTTAAAAGCTGTAAAGATTTTATTCTGAGACTGGTATGTTCTGTGTTCAACAGAATGCCAAATGGTCCACAATATGTGTACAGTGGTTAGTCATATTTACTGTTCTTTTAAAAAACCTGGTTTAGAACTGTGTTTTAACTAATTTAAAATATTTAAAAAGATATTTTCTGAATTCCTAAAGACAAGGTATATCAGAAACCCTGTATTAAATAAAAGACGAAAAGCATAGCCGTTCACAGAGAGACGTAGCCAGACTAGAAGAAGACAGTAAATATTGGGAAGAGAGCAATTGCTCTTTTCAGCCAGTCTGCTTGTGCTTCAACATGAATTCACAGCTTTGTCATTTAAAAGGGACTGTCTGTGATTGCGGAAGATACCGAAAAGTTGTTGGACAACTGGATATCAGTGTGGCTCGCCTCAAGACATCGATGAGGTTTGTCAAGAATGGTGAGTCTCTTCTATTGCTTTGTACTATTTATCCGTGGATTTATCTCTTTCAACACTGCAATTCCAACATCCCTAGCAGGAAATAACTTTGGGCAAAGGCCTACTGAATAGTGTCAACAGTTTAAAGTCTCTCAAAATCCTAATTATCCACTCAGTCTAGGACGCTTTAGGTCCACTTCCTGTGGACATACATATGTGCGTTCCTATGGGTAGAAAAGGGCGCTTTAGTGAGAGAGGGGAATGAAGAAGAGGCAGAGTCTGGCTAGCTGGGCCTTAAGAAAAAAAGGGCCCAGCTTTCAAACAGACAGCCAGCATCTCAGAAGATAAAAGTAATAATAAAAACAACAGCTACTTTCTTGAGTACTTGGAATAATAATAATTTTTATGATTAGACCGAAGCTTAGAGAGATTATCTTACCCATAGATACAAGCTAATGAACAGTGGAGCATGGATCTGAACACAGGTTTCATGACTCCTCTACCCTCAGTGCAAATCAATAGGAACATTATGCATTTCTCTAAATTGTGCAATTTTCCATATCAGTCATTTTTGTTTTCCCTTGTATCTCCCTATTAAAGTTCTCAACAAAGCCCTTAAAGTGGGGCTTATGTGCCCTCTCCTGGGACAGTATGAATGAGGGAACTGTTTTAGTTACTGTTACGGTTGGTTTCACTTTGTTGTACTTTTATTTATTATAATCCAGCCATATTTATTGTACAATACTGGAGGCACACAGTTGCCATCTTGTGTCCATCCTCGTCTTGTAATACTAAAGGCATAGGAAATGTTTGATATGAACTAACCCTCAGTTATAACTCTGGTTATAACCTATACAGAAGATGCCGCATCTGACATGACTTGGACCTTAATGAATAAACCAGACCCCAGAGGTTCAACATAGTGCAATAGTCCTTAACATTAGAGTGCTCATCGATTTATTTGTAAATTTTAACTTATAGACCCTAAAAAGATGTATGTAGATGCCCCCATAGGCCAAAACGTACATAGCATATTATGAGCTCAGGATGATTCTGAGTCCCCAATTCTGTCCTGAGTCTTACTCAGAAGCTCAGTCTACTTCATGTACCTGGAGTGAAGTATAGACCATCTATCTCAATTGATGTATATGTTCACAATCTAGGAATCTGGCCCATAGGGACAAACTTCTGTATTATTTCCATATCAGTCCAATAAGCCTTTACCACCCGCTAACGCTGTTCCAGGCACTGAGGCTACAGAGTGGCAAAGACATGGTCACTGGCCTCAAGATGCTCACAGTTCAGTAGAAGAGACACACAAACAATTAGACTAGAATGTGTCAAGTGCTGTGAAGTGAAAGGGACAATGGAAACATAGGGGAGAATGCACAGGAGTGCTCATGTCTGTCCAGGAGCATTGAAAAGGCTCTTATAGGAGAGAACACTTCCACTAAGATCTAAAGGATGGGTAGGAATTTGCCGGATAAAGCAGTAAGAAGACCTTCCAGGCATGAAAGGTACGGAAGTGGAAGAGAGAAGGTCATGCTCATGGAACTGTAAGTGTGGCAAAAGCATAAACTAGGAGGGGAAAAATTGTCTGAGATGAGCTGAGTGACAGTTCATATAACACATCTTTGTCAAAATAGCTCTCTGCTTCACATTGTGAGGGAAGTGAAAGAGAAAAAGACAAGGGAGGACCAATGACAGGAGTTTGTTCCCCATTTGACAGCTAGAAAGGTGGAGAAAATATTGAACCAGTGCCCACCTCATGATAGGGTCTTGGAAAAGAATTTTAAACGTTGAATAAATGAATTTAAATTAGCAATATTTTATACTTAGCGTTTCTCTTTTTGACATATATAATCACATTCTTCTTTTCCTTGCTGCAAAGTCATAGCAGGGATTAGGGAAACCGAAGAGAAATTCTACTACATCGTTCAGGAGGAGAAGAACTACAGGGAATCCCTGACCCACTGCCGGATCCGGGGTGGAATGCTAGCCATGCCAAAGGATGAAGCTGCCAACATGCTCCTGGCAGACTACGTCTCCAAGAGTGGCTTCTTCCGGGTGTTCATCGGGGTGAATGACCTTGAGAGAGAAGGCCAGTATGTGTTCACCGACAACACTCCACTGCAGAACTACAGCAACTGGAAGGAGGGTGAGCCCAGCGACCCCTACGGCCACGAGGACTGCGTGGAAATGCTGAGTTCAGGCAGGTGGAATGACACAGAGTGCCATCTTACCATGTACTTTGTCTGTGAGTTTGTCAAGAAGAAAAAGTAACTTCCCTCTTGCTGCACATTTGTCATTTCCCTGTGACTACCATGGCAGTTATTTTTATCCATCTTTTTCTGTCTAATTACACTAAATTCATTCTGACTCAAGGCAAGTGAGAAATGCTAGACTGAGGTTTGGAATCTCCATCGCCATGTTCGTCCATGGCGATTTTGAACATTTTCATACACGGTATGTTACTGAGCCATAAGCTCACCAGGTTACGGGTCCCAAGAGAGGGCTCGAATTACTAGTTGTGCAGGAGGTGGTTGTCTATGTCTCAAATGAAGTTCTCACTTGGCATTTGCTCTGCCACCTCTCCCTAGAGCCGTAAACCACTGTCTATCCAGCCCAGTGGATAATTGGATAGTTGGTTGGGGATGATTAGGCTCCAAGCCAGACATATGAGAGGCTCTTCTCTTAGGAATGTCAAGGTATTATCTGTCTTTGAACCCAAGATCCCCAATTCTTTGACCAGTCACCCACCATGGCCATAGCCACACATGCAAGGCCCTCTTCTTTGCATACACTCAGAAATACTTCAACTCTAAGCCTCTATATGAGGAACTTCTAGCCTAGTGCCCTGTTCCAGACCATATGGAATCACACAGATAACTTCTGTTCTTCTGGTTGACGGCCTTCACTAAAGTATACCAAGCCTTGGCCCCCTTTCTGTAGGCCCACAGGTAAATTCCAGGCCTCCAGATATTAACCCTGTGATCTGAGGAAAAGGGAGCTCTAGAAATTGAAAAGAAAAAAAAGAAAAAGTTAGCTCCCACACAATATTATTTATAATCCTCCTGCTAAATTGCCCCCTTTATTAATATGGCTCCATTTTTCCTCATCTTAAGTTTATCCATAGCAACTTTTCTCCCCTTGGGCATGGAGAATGAAGGAAAGGGTTTGTGAAGCCTTCAGAAAACTCTAGAAGCTTCAGGGTGCTACCAACACCAAGTCTCTAAGACTCTTGTCTGCCTCTAATATATCATGCATGGTGACATTTTGTGGGAGGCCCTTTATTCTCTGCAGCTGTATGTTGTAAAAATCTCACATCAGTGATGCCTTCAAGTACTTTCAAGTGTATCACAAGAATGTGTCAAGTGTGGAGTTTGGAACATGCCTGAGACTCACATTTACTAAGCTGGTAAAATTCTACTTTGAACTGCAGATCAAACCTCAAAGCAGCTCTAAATTGAAATTTTAAAATAAAAGTTCAACAAAACCCTAGATTATCCCCTTATAAACTGACGCTCCAGCTATAGTTTGTGACATATAATTAGACATTTAAAATGCTGGCAGAACAGTTAATGAGGGGCTTCCCTGGTGGCGCAGTGGTTGAGAATCTGCCTGCTAATGCAGGGGACACGGGTTCGAGCCCTGGTCTGGGAAGATCCCACATGCCGCGGAGTGGCTGGGCCCGTGAGCCATGGCCGCTGAGCCTGCGCGTCCGGAGCCTGTGCTCCGCAACGGGAGAGGCCACAACAGTCAGAGGCCCACGTACCGCAAAAAAAAATAAAATAAAATAAATTACAAAGCAGGACACCATATCAAATCCAGTATCCTGGGGTAGAATGCCAGCCAAGAGCTTGAGGAACAAGAATCTAGAAGCACTTAGAGGAAAAGAAGGGGATTAGAAAAGAGGAGAGAGGGAACAGACAGTAAACATTGCCTATGGGCAGCTCACACTGGGATCCATATTCTGATTTGTTCTAAGCCCCCCAAGTATGAATATTAATTGTGTGTACCATCCATGCTATTCTAATTTCTATTATGATTATTATAATAATAACATTTCTCTCAATGACTCATCGTTGCTGCCAGTGCTTCCAAGAGAAGATGACAGAGTTTCAAAGATAGGATTCATCCTGAGACCTTGCCTGGGAGAAATTTTGAAGGCACCACACACTTAATTAGATTTGCTATAAAACTTACTTTGTGCTTTACAAAATAAATGTCTTCACATAACATTTTCCATGTGATCCTGATAAACTCTGTGAAGTACGAAGGGCAGACGTTTTTATTGCCATCTTTCCAATGAGAATACTGAGGTCCAAGGAAGCTAAGCAGTTTACCAAAATCAACTCATTTGAAAGAAAAGCAGGATTTCACTCTGCTGATTGAAACTGTCAATCCAGTGTCCTCTCCAGCCTATGTTTTTTGCTCTTATATTGAATGGAATTTCATCCACGATTTTCTTGTGATAACAGGGGCTCAAATAATCTCTCTTGATTACTTTCCAAAGTTAAAGATTAGGGTTAATTAATAGAAATGCTGGGGATTCAGAAACTTGCCTTACAAATATGGTACTCACTGGTTTCTTTTAAAATTCAGGAATGTCTACACATGTCATTAATGTTGAGGAGGTGATTTAGTACAGTGTCACTACAGTTTTGCAAATAACTACAGATTTAGGGAAAGCAAGGCAGATATATTAAAATTAAGATTTGCCAAAACTAAAAATGAGCAAGTAATTATTTGCCCCATAAGAGAATAAAGTAGATAATTCCCTTAAATAATTAGCATTTAAAATCAATTTCATTCTCAAAAGTTAAATGTATATTCAACTTTTCAGGAACATATCTGGGCACTTCCCAAGGATGACATAAAGGTTCCAGGGGAAGAAAATTAAAAATGTATTCACAATTGCACAGTGCTGCCTTTTCAAAGCAACACACTCTATAGCCAGACAAGAAGAAATATCTTATGTCCAGAGTCATTGTGTAGAAGGGTATATACATCCTGTGTTGAGAGAAATATAACAAACATTGATTACACTTTGGACAACTCACCCATAAAAACTACTGACATTAAAGAAGATGTATTTTTTCCTGCTTAGATGTATGAGCTTCTTTGATTGTTATTGACCAATTAATTTCCAGCTCTCTGGATTGCATACCTGGAGACCATAAGACGTCTCTGGAATAGGAAAGGTTAACTAACTAGCAGCACGCACTGCGTTTCCACAGATGTGGTATACATACATGCATTGTTTTTCAATATAGGACTTTCTTCTACTGCACTCCTAACAGGTGGTCACACAGTCCATATTTGAAGGTTTTGGGTAATTTTCTAACCCCATTAGAAAGTTTTTCCTTACAGTGAAATAAAATATGCTGTCTCTAATTTCCATCTACGACCTTGTTCTCCCTTCTGCTGTTCATAACTCTGAGAGGTCTGACCCTGAGACCAGCTGGATCAGCCTCTAAATGAAAGTACAAGTCAGGGCAGGGAGAACTGTGCTCACTGTGGCACTGGTTACTAAGGTGGATACCCAGTGTTTTTTTTGTTTTGTTTTGTTTTGTTTTGGGTTCTCAGGGCTCCCACTGTTGTGGCCTCTCCCGTTGCGGAGCACAGGCTCTGGACGCGCAGGCTCAGCAGCCATGGCTCACGGGCCCAGCCGCTCCGCGGCATGTGGGATCTTACTGGACCGGGGCACGAAACCGGGTCCCCTGCATTGGCAGGCGGACTCTCAACCACTGCGCCACCAGGGAAGCCCGATACCCAGTTTTGTACATTTCTCTAACCCTATATGGTATGCCCCACTCCCAGTGAATTCAAATTTTGTTGGTGAGGCATTAGAGGCACAGATACAGAGTAGAACTGGGATTGAAAGTCATATGGGGCATCTCAATTATAAATAATCTATTTATTAGGAGAGGGTATTCAGTGGAGAGGCTTCAACCCTAAGGGAGGAGGCTGTTAAGAGGTTGATGGTTTGGTAAGACCTGACTGAGAGGGTTCAGGGCAGGTGTCCAGTGCCAGTGAGATGAAGTCCAAGGCAGAGACCAGGTTCATGAAACTGACATGGCGAACAATTGGCTTAGGTGCCTAGTAGAGCTCACTAACTCATTAATTCATCAAATGTACTTATGGAGCATTTACCATGTGATGAGGGCTGGAGACACGATGGAAAAGAAGACAGATCAGACTTCTAGCCTCATGAATAGAACTCTCCTTTGGCTCATTGAACATCGAGGTTACCACACTGAAGCCCAAGAGTTAATCCACTGTCATGGATGGAATATATAAACCTATTCTATTTTTACTCCTACTTCCTCTTCAACATAACGCCTCTTCAAAATTATACTGAAATAGGTTGGACAAAGAGAATTTTTTTTTTTTGTAAAAGTACAACGTTACCATTTCTTGAAGAGCAACATTGACACATCTCTTCAAATACATTTATAAATTCCTGTAGGCTGGCTAATTTTGATGTGAACAAGAAGTTCTCATGTCGTTGTGTATGCTCACCCACACCACTACCTCACAAGACAGAATATATCCTTGTGATTGTGCATGGATGAGCGTTAACACTTGGTAAATATTCCTCCACATTATTTTTTTCTGGTGACCTACAGCTGACATTCAGTGAAACCCCGATTTCCCACAGACTGTCACTTTCATACTAAAATAAAGACAGGTAGGGGGAAGGGAATCAGAATTTTACAATTTATTAAAATGTGAGCACAGCAGCCTTAAATTAATCACCATGTTGGAATCTGTAGCTGGGAAATAATGCAGATTCATGTGTGTCCACACAATTTTAAAGGTATGTAATGCTTTGGCCTATGTGTTTTTCACTTTAGAACCCTTAAACAGATGAATTTATCAAGAGGTAAGTCTTATCCTTTGGACAAACTGGGTTAGTGGGCTTCTGGGGGAGGTGATAAAGATGAGGATTGTCTACAACCCACCCCTTGATATATTGATAGAACGTCAGTCGGGAAGAATACTCATAAGCTCCACCATGATATGTGAAAAAACAAGGCAGGCACAGAAATTTCCTAAGTCTTGAGAAAATGAGGTAAGTGGAGACATAATTGCAAACACATTCAATTTACATCCAATAAAGTCTAGGTGAATACTTTTACTAAGTGTAGTGCACATAATAGACAACTGCGGAAGACTCTTTCCTAGGAGATCACAATTTCATATGTA